CATAATTTGAATAAAAATTGTGTCCTCCACCAATATCACTATACAATATTTACATCGTAATCTTCTTGTTAAAATCCGGCTTAAAGTCAGTTTAAGCGGTATCAACACTTTTACTATAAAATCTAAAAACATCTAGCTAAAGATATCACTTTTTCTTTATATCATCTAATTGCATCACAATAAGTTATAACACAATCGTTTGCATGTTGGTTCTATAAATTTCTGTAACACTGTACAAGCTTTTTCATCTTTAAATATTGCTATATAAGCAAATAGATCTATTATCTGTTGAGAAATGTCAAATTTTTCATCTTCCATATTAAAGATAGCAAACTCTCTACTACATGAATTAATTAGTCTTCCAAAATCGGTTTTCTTATATCTTCTAGATTTTTACATGTTAAAAAAAAGGTGATAAATTTTTTTCTGACTCGTTACATAATTGACATAATGACTGTTCAGAGTTATTCTTAAACTTGGCTCTAATTACGTAGAATGTAACTTCCAGTAAATATTTTCAGCTTTGTACGAATTCCAATAATTTTTCATAGTGTTTGTATTAGTAATAGGTTGACAACGTCCTGGTGTGTATATCATAGACAAATATTTAAAACTGGTATAAAGTTTTGCTTGATCTAATATTTTCTGATGAATTTTGGAAGTTTAATATTTCACGCTTCCATTGGAATTTAGAAATTTGATTGACTAAATATTGCTCTGGGTCATTCAATTCATATTTTAAAAATGTTTTTTCTCAATAAACTGAACCAACCAGTACTATAAATAGAATTTACATTTAATTGTCTTTCTGCTAATTGCCATTCAATAGAACGTTTTTCTTGTCTAGCAATATTTCCGTAAAAGTTTGTTAACATTTTCCTCTTGGGATTACTATTTCCAATCCATATAACATTATTGGTATTATATAAGTAATCATAATTCACATTAAAGTTTGTGGATCTAATCCGTTTTCTCCATAAAGCCCAACCCCCATTAAACTATAAAGTGTTCTTCTTGAGTTCTTTAATTTCTTATCTATTGTTGCTTTTAATACATGAATCATCATCTGTACGACTAATTCCAATATATGTTGTTTTAATAGAAGTTGGGAGTATAGCATTGCCTAGAGATCAAATATTTTCATTAACTTTCTCATAGTGACGAGATTTAGACTGTAAAACACAACTTTTTGCTGGTGGTAGTAAATATGTCTCTTGTGTACTAAATTCAAATGCCATATTAACCAAAATCTGTGTTTCATACGGACAGTTGCTGAGCACGGCTAAATCGTCTGTTCAAGTTGGAGCACAACATGAGATTAGTCCAATTTCCCCTTCCATATCCTGAATCAGTTAGAATGTCTAAAGTGTATTTATATAAATTTTATACAAGTCCGGCCGTGTCGTACGCCTTGTTCTATTCTAAAAGTATCTGATGTTTGGTTATTCCATCTTACACAAGAAACAGCATTTTTATATAAGTTATCAATAATCAAAATAGATTGTTCTGGAATTTTCATTTGATATAATAATCTTCTTATTATCCCTGCATTACTGCACCATATGCTGACTTTGCATCAAGCATAGTAATTATTGTTTGAACATTTAACTCAACACAATATTTATGAAATTATTCTATGATGACGGAACAGCTTAACGGTGATGTTCTTCTAGTAAAACCACGCTGTAATGGATTTTGATATTTCATAATGTCAGAATTAATTCTTATCTTTAAAACTACTCAATAAGTTTAGATAATGTTAGAGTTACTGTAATTCAAGGTAATTTTTTCTATCATTACAGCTTCCCTTATTCTTAAAAAGGATGACTACAATCCCTAATTTCTGTTCATCTGGTATATAACAAAGTCTAAAAGTACTATCCAAAAGTTCTTTAAGATAATTAATAAGTGTTGATCCACCATATAATAAATAACTTATATAAAAGCTTCTTCTGTGTCATTTTCAGTAATACTTTGGTGCTGAAATATAGTTAAACAAGTGTCAATTATATAAATATGTTCTTGTTCAACCTTTTTTGATATTTATTATCAAAATTTTCATGAATAGTATTTTTTGTTAAGTTTTAAAAATGGTGTTTCCGTCCCATTTGAATTTTGTCTTCTGTGCTATACCCAACTGCCTCACGACAATGTTTACGTAAATTATAAGTTGTTTCATTTTTCTGAATAAAAAAGTTCATTTGTAGGGTCTTGAGGGCGGCCATTATTCTTCCATTGGTAAAAAGCCATTTTCTTCTTTGTAATTGCGTCTGACATTTCTTCGTTCATAACTTTTATTTTTGGTTTTCTATATCTTTTTCGTAGAACTGGACAACATTTTTTTGTAGAACTAAAAAGTGAATTGTTTATATTTTGAAAAGCAAGATCCACTTCATATCTGTTTTCTAAAGATGATAAAAAAGTATTCAAACCATTTTCAATAGACTTTTTTCATATTCCCGACTTTTGACTACGGATTATATAATTTTTGGACAGGTTTGGTAATCTGTGGTTGGACATCCTGGTACTAGGTCAAGTAAGAGTAACCAAAAGAAGTTAAATCAAACCTATAATCTGTGCACTCTGGGGGGAAATTGTACTGTTTCCGATTATTTTGTCGTATAATGTAAACATAAAACAGTTTATTTCCTCAAAAAAATTGTACCGATTGAAAGCTTGATTTTGCTTTTTTACGTTGCTCTTGGTTGACCGAGTACCAGGATGTCTTACCAGAGAGAAGGTAACCTGTCGAAAAAATATAAACTCTGGAGTCAAAAGTCGGTAATATGAAAAAAGTCCAAAGTTTAATAAACGTCTTTTATCTATTCTATTCCATGGGATCCAACCAGATATGGGTAATACTTTTGAATTTGAACATTTTGATTTTTCTTAGTTTTGAACAAATTCATGTAATTGATCTATACAATTATAAAATTCTATTGTATCGAATGGAGAACCTTAACATGGTAAATAAACTGAAACCAAAAGTAACTTTGATGTTCCTAAAAGTTCAACACAGCTAATTCTGTCATTTCCTATATTTGAGGGATTAATAAAATTGTTGAGATCTTTTCTCCATAATATTCCTGTTCCCCAATAACCACGAGGTAAATTGGTTGAATTAATAGGGTCCTTATCATCGACATCTTTTCCAATTCCACAAATATTTGGATGTAGTTCATTTAGTGAATGCAGTTGAAAATTGAACAACTAATGTTCTTGGATTAAAAATAGATCTGTAGATTTAAAAAAACATACCACACGACTGTACATTTTTACAATTAAAAGTTAAAATATTAAGTTCTTTCTTTTCATAATCCTCACTACGTTCATGATCTATTTGTTTTTTAACGTTGTTTTGTTTACACTGAGGCTTGCAGTCCATAAAAAATCATTTTCATAGTTTTGTCAATGAACGTCTCATCATTATTCTTAAAAAGTTCATTGGAAATACCAAGACCTTGTTGATAAATATTCCGTATCAACTTCACAAATAATACATGATGGTCTTGAACAATAGATTCTATGTACCGACGTTGTTTATCTTAATTACGCGTTATAGCGATCTTTTTATTTGTCCTTGTACATGTTTAACCTTTACTGTTTAGTCAATGTTTGGTAATATACTTTTGACGTGGCTCGGTACTTATACATCCCGTCATTGTGCTATGGTCAATTTTATATTCTTGTCTTTTAGTTTTGCTTAATATATGTACTTTGTCTATATGCCACATTGTGTTCCCCAGTTTTTGATATTTTCACCTATTATGTCTGTTTGTTTTGCTCACACATTGTTGTCAATATAATGGAATTCTATGCGACTGTCATACAAGTGAGAGGTTAGCTAGCCATAAAGCTAGGTTTCATCTCCCATTTTCTACACAAGGAAATGCCTGTACCAAGTCAGGAATATGACAGTTTTGTTCCATTCGCTTTTGACGTGTTTGAGCTTTTGATTTTGCCATTTTATAAAGGACTTTCAGTTTTGATTTCCCTTCGATTTCGGTCTTTTTGATGTTTTACTTTTTTCATGTGTAGTGTTGTCAATGTTCTTACTTTGTTAGTACAGATTTTGGCCTAAATAGTTTCTTGTTTGACTACGTTGTGTGATCCATTAGTCGAGGTACAATTTTTTACGAATTGATTGTTTATTGCAAGTACATCTATGAGATTTGAATGAATAACGTTTCGACCTAAAAACTTTTTTTGAGGATGACCAAAACAGGTGAGTGGGTGTGGTCGTATGTTTTATTGCATTGTATTTATTTATTCATGTTTTGGGGTCTTTTTGGAAGTAAGTCCTGTCTTGGCCAGACTGATGGAACTGGGTAGGCAAATGCTCACATTAAATGTGTGCCGATACATTGTGCTAAATGTTCTCCTTTACCATAACTCATGGTGGTGCTTCTAATGAAAGGAGGCTTATACATAGTCAACATACAGTCAGTTCACGTCATTGTTAAATTCAAATTTACTATCTACTTCTCCCTGTTTGTTTGCATCTTTGTTAGATTAATTTGTATATATGTTTGAACTTTTTAGTCAGTTGTATTGTATGTCTGTGATATATATGTTTATACAGTTTTGGCTGCTGGATCCCAATTGTTCTCACTTTAACCTAGTATTATGTCTTTTGGGGTTGCTCGCCCAATTTTGTTAATATAACGGAACTATAAACAACTGTCATACAAGTGGGAGGTTTAGCTAGCTATAAAACCACGTTTAACCCAACATTCTCTTCAGAAAATGTCTGTACCAAGTCAGGAGTATTACAGTTGTGTTTCACTTGTTCCATTGATTGATATCGTTTGATTTTGTCAGTTTTTATGGACTTTCCGTTTTTTGAATTTGCCTTGGAATTCGGTATTTTTGTTATACTTTTTAGTCTAGCCTTAGGAACTTTACAGTTTAAGAAAGTGAAAGAAATAATGATTACAATTGAAACCATTGAAACTAAGACTGTTAACATCAACCAAATGATAAAATAAGCAACATTAACATTTAATTTTAGTTTGTTTTATTATCTAAATCATGTAACTATAAAAGTTCATTATAAAAAATCAAATAAATTAACAATTGGTCCTCAATTATCAACAACAAATAATTAAAATTGTGACGATTCATAAACATGTTAAAATATGAAATCTTTATGAAAAAAAAGTTTCTTGTTTACATTATGTATAAAATTTGTCAAAAACTGAATATGCAAACAAAAACATTTCATGAATAAATGTATATGAAAAAATAAACACATGTCAAGTATACACAATAGAGATACATGTCATGAACAGAATAATATTATATCCATTATTTTTTCCTGTATCAACCAGAACCATTAATTAAGCTGACCACGAAGTTGGAGTTCTGATTGATACAGAGTACAATATAAAAAGCTGCACATACTATTCTTTGTTATCCTATTTGTAAACATAATCGTTTTTTACAGAGAGTTTGATGATGTACAAACTTGGCTTTTAATTCATATAACATTGAGACGTCTTTTGTTTTTATTCCACCCTTGGTATCTTTTCTTTTTTACTGGTGTGCAATCTCAGCCTTCAATTACAAACTTAACGTAGAGTTTTCTGTTGCATGTTCAGAAAATGAGTGACTGAAAGGCCAAGGCCATCGATTCCAAGGTCACACATCAATAAACTGTGTAAAAATAATTTTTTCATTATTACAAATAATTCCTTATAAAAATAAAAATAAAAATACCTACATCAAATACTTCAGCAACACCTGAAGACCTATATCGCCTGTGTAGGAATTCAAACTTGTGAAATGGGTTTTATACATGTACAATATTGTTTTGTTGCCCCGACGCCCACCAATGGACCCAGACTTGGCATAAAACATTGCAACTATCATTATGCATGATGATATGTTCATGTAACTTATGAGCTGTTTGTGATATAGAGTTTCAGTATTGTCTGTTATAAGTAATAGTTTCTTGAAAAATCCAAAACAAAATATGTAACACTGAGGGCTCAGTACAAATAAACAGATTTACTGCCAAAAAATTGTTTAATAAGTGTAAATTAAGAAATTAATGTATACATTTATTACTGTAAATCACTGATTACTGGTATTTGCGTGATCTAATTAATGTGATTGCAAAAATTTTGTGAAGGAAAATCACGACTGAAATTATAAATGCTAGTATTTATTTTTGTAAACCTGATAAGGTCATATTTTTGGCATCAATAAAAAAATCACAATAATTTCTGAATTTGCAGAACTTCAATCTGCATCATCTGACCATGGTTCCTTTTAGGAAGGAAACAGGTGTTGGTGGTTGATGTGATATTTTGTACCATGTTATACTGTGCAGTATTTTTGGTGAGTTCTGTTATTCCTTTTTATGAATTTATATTCTTAATCTATCATGTCTATCTGACCTTGATATTTAAGAGTTCCATCTTTCTGATCTAGAATTTACAGTAAACATAAATTATGTTGCAGTTGGGGCCATGCTCATGACACATGTTTCAGTTTTGGTTTCTTACGGAACAAGAACTAAACAGGAAATGAATTTAATCAGAATTTCAATAATGTTATGCTTATATTCACAACAAACACACAACTTTTCCAGGTAAACATGTTTAAAGAGTTAGAACGGGACTAAATTTTTTTAATCTTCATTATCTAACAAAAAACATTTTTAAAGAGGCAATGTGTAAAAGGAGGGTTGAACATGCAGCAATGACATTTTAAATACTTTTTGACCTGCTGAAAACATTGGTGGACTCATGATGTTGAACAAATTCAACCTAAATATTCATTATTAAAATAAGGGCAGTCTTTGAAGGACTTGTATATGAAAAAATGTATCTACATTATATTTATACACTCATTAGGCAATAATGACCTTGCACCAAACAGATGAAAATATACATCATATTATTCTGAATAAATTCAGTTACAGAGAAATATTGAAGTGAAGCTATAAATTAGAAAAAATATTCTAATACCAAAATTGACAAAAACTAGTTACCAATATTTAAAATAGTTAGTTACAATTGTTTTAATTTGTTTTGTCAATAAAGTACAACATTGTCTCATAGTTTTTGCTATCAGCTATGTCATGTATGTGTTATACAAATTTAAAAGATGTAAACATGGTAAATGTGGATAAAATAGATGTTGCAAATATTTGCAATTACATGTAAAAGTGGCATTTTAGGTCAAATATAAATTTAAACATGTTTATGACATCATCATTATCATGGTTACAAAACAACTGATATTTCTGCATTGAAATGTCCTGGTAATATCATCATATTCATTCATCAATAAAATTTACAGCATATTGAAAGGAATGAAGAATTTTCTTATTTTGTAATCTCAGCACTTTGTCAATTGTTGACTCATCATATCTCTTCCCTTTTACATGTTTTATGCATATGCTAACTATCAATTTCAAAGTTCATTCAGAAGAAACTTAAAGATGTACTTCCATGGCATTTGTATTAATAAAGTCAATGAAAGTCCTGACAAATTTTTTTCTATATTTTATCTTATTGAATAAACATCTGAAGTACGTAATTTCTGCATAATTACAATCAATATTCCCCAGTATCATGAGTATTGTACAGTATTGAAAATAGGTAAAAACTTCCATATTTTGAAATTAAAAAAAAAACACATGCATTTTGTGTTTAAATATATAATAAATATGATAAAAAAGCATGTCTCCTTAACACAAATGCCATCAAGAAATTGACCTGAAGGCATAAATTAGTAATAGTAACTCAAAGAGTCATAGTATAATTTTCTCATTGTTGAAGGCCATACGGTTACCCATAATTGCTTACATCCACTTTATTTGAACTTTTGTGGATAGTTGTCTTATTGGCAATCATACCTCATCTCCTTATTTTTATAAGAAGATTCATACAAAAGTCATGACAGGAAAAACAAAATGATTCAGTGAAAAATCACACTTGCTGGTGTTGATTCACTGTGAAATATGGTGATTGATGGCCATTGAAGGTGATTAATTACATTCTGATGTCTAACCATTCTTTTTACTATCCATGCTATCAAAGGGCAAAAAAAACATATGTCTGTTTCCCGTCTCCAAACCAACCCTAATTTTGATCACCGAACGTAAGTTTGATCACAGACACTAAAACATTTTAATGCTTTTCCAATTTTTTTTTCTCAAGGAATAGCTTTTTTGTATCATTTGAGTAGTCCTGCCTCCCTTCCCAAATATCCAATTGTCATACCCTAATGCAAAGCTTAAAATCAATCAGTGAAGTGTAAAATGAATACATCCACTTCATTTAAACTTGGATCGATAGTTGTCTCATTGGCAATCATACCACATCTCCTTATTTTTATATTGTCATGTTGACTGCATTTTCTAATAAAGAATAATTTTAGGATTTTAATATTACCACTGATAACTGATATTTCGAAAAATGAGTAAAAATGAGCAAATTGGGATGATGAACAGTCTACTGTTAACTTAAGCTTATATGCTCCTTGCTCGAGGTAGCAAAGGGCGATCATAAAAATAAAACAATCACACACAAAATCAATCTATATCATTGTCTCCAATGCTTCACCATTAGCATCGACTGTTGTGATTGGTCTATACGGTTTTAATCCTTTCTCCTTATTGGTCAGGTTGTTGCTAGGAAACAAAGCTGCTTGACTACTTGTGCTACTGTTAGAAGGTAACATGTCTTCTGAATACATAAAGCTTGTCTCAATATTATCAATTTCCTCATAGTAATGAAAATTTCCTGTATTTGGCTGAATGTATGGGGAATCCTGAAATCTGTGATAATTTTGCAAAGGAGTTCTTGGAACACGATATGGCATTTCCTGAGGAGTATGATAAATGTTTGCTGATGTATGATATACATTACCTACTTGAACACAATTGGGTTTCATGACTGATGATGGGGAGTGATATGGATTGGATGAATCATAAACATGATTATGATTTGAATGATGAAATGGAGTTTGATAATTTGTTCTTGGCTGCAACCTTAACTCTGCAGAAACTCCCATTTTTGGCATGTTCCTTTTCTTAGCACTCTGATTGTAAAGAGGTTTCTGACTTTCTGATACAAACACATCATCATCACTAGAACCTGTTAAAAGTCTGTCACGACTATCATTTGGAACATCGCTACTTTCACTTTTGCCTTGATCCATAGTTTCATAAGTACATGTATCACTCTGAGAATCTGTGCGAACTGACGAGCTGTCCTGGGATATGGATACAAAATCAGAATATGATGGAGGATGTGGATAAGGTGGGAGTATTTCAGGCGAACTCTGACCTTTCCAATTAACAAGTTCTTCTTGAGATGGTCTGTTATCACCACATTGTTTTTGATAGCCTAAGTCTTTCCTTGGTGGTGCATATGGATTTTCATCAGATTTTTTGCACAATTTAAAATTCTCCCGAATTGCTTTTTCACATCGGATTTCACCAGGAGTTTTTAGACCCTTAGCATTTTGACTGATGTCCAACTGACTACCAACAACATAAAATGCTGATCCGTCTCGTTGAAGAGGCTTTGGAGGTAAAGTATCTCCATGACTTGACTGACGTGTAAGTGGTTCGGGAGGTAACATTAACTTGTCTGCATTTTGTCTTCGAATAGGCTCTGTGGGAAGAAAATGACTTTGCACAGAAGGTCGTGACCTTGGTTGTTTATTCATATTTATTCCATAAACAGGATCAATTAATGAATTAGAATTAACATCTATTATTTGTTTGTGACTTGGAACTGACTTCGAACCACTCTTGACAGGATCTTTATCCTTGACCTTTTCGAGATCAGCCTTTAACCTTTCACTCTGTTGTAAAAATAATTCTTTTATCTCCTCTTTGAATTGTTTTCCTCCTTCTTTTTTCTTAAAACTGTTACTGTGATTTATTTGGTATGGTTGAGGTGTATGAGATCGTATAATTTTTGGTATTGTATTTTGTTTATTAACATATGGCTGGGGAGTCAAAGCACGTCTATTATCAAACTTTGGTTTTTCCTCTTTGTTTAGATTTCCCTGAGATTTCAATATTTCAGTCTCTTCAGCATACTTTTTATGCAAATCTAAAATAAGCATTAACTGTTTTGTATCTAAATTATGAAGAGTTACTGCCCTTTTGCCCCTTTTCCTATGTTCCTTCAGTTTTCCTTGACCCTTCTGTTGTTTCAAATTACTGTCAAGGTTTCTTGTTTTATCAATGTCATCCAATGAATCACATGACCTTGACCTCCTGACTCCAGGAAGATTCAAATTTCTTAATAATATTTCATTAGACCTCTCACTATCAACTGACTTCCCATGTGATCTTGAACTATCCAATGAATTCTGTCTATCTGTAGATTTCAAAATACTAATAGGGAAGCTACTGATTGGTTCAGAATTTTGACCAATCACAGAGTGTAGGTCATTCACTGCAGTCTGGTTTACTATAATGTCATCATCACTTTCTGATACTGAAGAACTACCACTTACTGTAAATATTTCATCGTAAGTCTCCTCCTGCAAAAATAATAATATACTTTAAATACACAATGATTATATTATTTACAGTCAAACCTGTATAAAAAGGTCACCCTCAGGACTTTTATGACATTAAAGGTGACATTTTTCGACCTTTGAATTAAGGTTTAGAATGCATAGGTACTAATGCAGCAGGGACATAAAGAATATGACCTGACAAGACAAGTTTTGGCTGAATAGAGGTGACCTTTATACAGGTAGTACGTTTAACTTAAAACCTATTACACAGAATTAAAATTTCAAAATATTTCATATCAAATGTCAAATTAAGAAGCTTTCCTATGCAATTCAGCTATATTTTCTTCTTCTTCTTGGTGTTAAGATAGTTTTTCCCTCAGGCAAAGTTGGCCTTAGATGGATTCGCTTATTATTTCTAGGTCCTTTTAATTATATAGCTCTTTCGTTTCTTATACATCCGTGGCTTTCAAATATTTGGCTTTGAGCATTCCTGACGAAGGTCTGTCCAGGGAAGCATGTTGAACGCATGAAATTTATATAAAGTTTGTTTTTATTTTTTAAATGTTCTTGTTTAAATTTTGTATTACTTGAAATTTCCAATGTGTCATGATTTCTACTTAAAAATGTTTGATGAAACTTGTCTTAATCTAAGTTATGGACTTAAAACACCATTTTGTAAATGTCCTACCAATGATAATTTTAAAATCAAGTCCTATAATTATTTATGTCTTTACTTAATTGATGTTGAATTTAAATTTTTCAGAAATAACTGAAATTAATTGCATTGTATCCTACCCTTATATACATCCTCAGCAATACAAAACAACAAGATAAATTATAGCGATGTTAAAAAACAATTTACATTCTAAGGGAAATAACTCAAATTGTATCATTATATCTATATATGTCATTAAGGGGGTTTCCCTTACTTGGTATTTTTCGCGGGTTATGTTTTTGCATGGGTGGTTTCGGTTGAGGGTATATAAGGAATTTGTATGGGTCCGTTCGAGTAATGCGAGGTTTGTTACAAAGTTGGAAAGGATGTGTTATAAGAATATTTCAGTTGTTTGCGATAGCTTTCCCTCCCTCCCCCTCCTTCTAGTAGTAGCTTTGTACTCTTGATACCTATGTAACTATATAACATGTTGACATTGATACATATGTATGATCTTTATTGTTTTTTGTTGACTCGTTCATTATATAAAATTTATGCGATCTTTGTAACGAACGCACAACCCATTTTCTTGTTTGTTGTTTATTTTAGTTAGTTCAGAAAATATTTATTTTAGTACGAATGAAATGAGGTAGAAAATAAGAAAGTAATATTTACTTGTAGTAGTAAATTTGTAAGATTTTCATTTCAAGATTTGAATAGTCTCCCCTTAATCTTCTCCAAAATTTACTTGTGCAAGTAATTTTTTTTATATCATAAATATAAGTAATTAGTAAACAGGTAGTTAATGAGTCATGAATCAAAAATACCAATGACACAGATCAGTATGCTGACATAAAAATTGATTCCGAATTTTAGTAAGCTCTGATTTGTTCCTTAGAAAAACGAGACCTAAGTTTTATGTGACAGACGGTGACTGACTGAAACACAGGCTGACAAATGTAAACCAGTTTCTCTAATTCTTTGACAATTTAACTCTTTCTGGACCAATTGTTTAAAACAAATTATTTAAAGAAGATGATTGGTTAAGTTAAAAGGTCATAACCTTTATCAGCTATCTGGGTGAATCGAAATGTACAAATGAATATATATTTAACAAGGAATTATTTGAATCTGGAATAATTTTGAATTGCTAAAAATTGATAAGAAATGTATGATGAAAACTAACCCAATTAAGAAGGGTTAGTCATGTGTGCCTGGCTAAGGGGGATTAGTTAGTTCATACTGAAAATCAAAAATATCAGTGAAAGTAAAATTAACCTTAGCCATCAGGCCACGCAGGATGGCTAACCCTCTTTAGTTTGGTTAGTTTTCATCATACATTTTTATTCTATTTTCCAGAATTCAAAATTATTCCAGATTCAAATAATTCCGTGCTATTTCATTAAATGCAATGTTCTTGGTTAAAAGTGGACTTTTGTGAATGTTTGCTTCCATTTGATCCTGAGATGCATAAATGAAGTTTTATCATATCAATTTTTGCAGTGTATGATCACTATGATGTAGAAATCATGAATGGAGAAGGCATTCAAAGGAGATATTTGTTTACTTTGAAAATTTATTCGATAACCATTAGAGAAACAGATTCTTACAAAATTTTACGGACGCCATCACGAGTTGGTTGACCGTTATGGAATATCCATTTCACAGATGAAAGCGGATATGTTCCAATTGTTGTAACTACAATCCCATCCCCCTTTCCTGGAATGTGACCTATCGAATTAGACTTCTTACGGGATTTGTACTAACATGAGCAACACAACGGGTGCCACATGAGGAGCAGGATCTGCTTACTCCTTCCGGAGCACCTAAGATTACCCCCAAGTTTTGGTAGGGTTTGTGTTGCTCAGTCTTTGTTTTTCTATATTGTGTTTAGTGTACTATTTTTTGCTTGTTTGCCTTTTTCTTTTTTTGCCATGGCGTTGTCAGTTTGTTTTCAACTTATGAGTTTGAATGTCCCTCTGGTATCTTTCGTCTCTCTTTTACAAAGTTACTCGTGGATTATTGGTTTATCCAATCTCGATAGTTAAATTATCAATGCTCAGACTATAAAATTTGATAGTTTAACTATATCGATTGGATAAATATGATAATCAACTGGTACCAATGTAATAATCTATATACATCCCCTCCTCTTGATATGTTAAAGTTGAGGTATAAAAACAAATGACTTTATTTGTCCTTACCTGTAGAAGTCTAAGTCTCGTCCTCTCTGTCCTCAGAACAAGATAAGCTAACACTACTGTCAAAGCACACAAGCATAACACAGCTAAAAATAGTCCTATCTCTGTATACAACAAAGCCGGTAAAACTTCCTGTATAGCTTTACAGCTGGATGTCCTCTCAAAATTAACTCTCGTTTTATCTGAAATTACACAAAAAATGTTTCAGGACATGTATTTATAGGTAGGTTTCAAATGCAGTGTTCTTAGCAGTATATGTTTGTCTATAATTAATTTTTCTCCTCTCCAAAGAATTGTAACAATTCTTGTAAAAACTTGATTTTTGGGGGAAATTCTGTTTTTATCATTTTAAAAAAGACAACAGATTAAGCTTAGTTTAATGCAAGTTATAATAAAGGAATTTGACACACATTATCACAACTTACAACAAATTTCCCAACAATACAAGGAATCTAGTAACCATGTGTCTACTTTGGATTCATTTATTTCATGGATTCATTTTCGTGGATTCATTTATTTTGGTGGATTAAGGAAAAAAAATGTTTTTTCATGAATATTTTATTTCATGGTTTTACAAAAGTCTGAATACAAGGCCATAGAAAATTTATACTTTATTTAACCTTAAAAGTTGTGGTTCACCTGTACCCATGGAATCAGGATAATTGGTATCTCATGAATATTAATGAATCCACAGTATTCAACTACCATCATGTTAAGTACAATTCAAATTAAGAAACTAAATTTCTTCTATATTTACACATGCATAAGAAAAAAGCTAATTCATGGTCACTTTCTCTTCTCTATTTTTACTGATGTATCTGTGTTTCTAAAAAACATTTCAAATTCAGAATAAAAATTACAGAACAGACAAAAAAGTCACATCTGCATTCTGCATTCCAAAAAATATTTGAACATTATACACTTTTTTTCAATGCCAGTTAAAAATTGACAAGAGTTGTCTCTCTTTGGCAAAGTTTTATATTACTGACATAATAAGGAATTGTTCACTATTAAGAAGGTGTAATAAAATTTAATTAGTGATATGTTTTAAAATTCTAAATGTAATTTGATTGTGTAATTAAAAGTGATGCTTTACACACTAAAAATAGTTGAATACAATATTTAGGCTTTTTGTGATAAGTTTTAATTTGCATTTATAGAAATTTAGCTGTTACCTGGTTACTGTGGACCCTCCACCTGGTCATATTACAATACATATATATATATAAATGCGTGTTGTTAAAATATACTTTTTCACTTTTTTGGTCTTTTGGAAAATGTTGTTTGTGCTGTATTTAGACCTCTCTACCAAGAAATTTGTTTTGCATGCACACGTATAAAATTGCAATTTTTATCCAAAGCAATCATAGGTTTGAACGTCTTTTTCGATTTAGACTTGTTTATATATATGTAGGGCATTTATAACTGGTCAAACTTGAATTACAATGAGACAGGCCAGTCTTTAAAAAAACCAAAAAAAACCAAAAAAACCCAAAATCTTCCAATCTGCTCAAATGCTGGCACTATTTTTGCAGTTCCAAAAAAGAAATGTGGTCTAATTGCTCAATTTCTTAAATTTATTTTTGTCATGTCAAGTTTTACAAAATCTGGTTAACTTTAACCAGAAGTCTGTTTTACATTTTCATTTCAGTTAACTAACTCTGTAAAATTTAACCCTTTGGTTTTTGTCCCAGTTAGATTCTATAAACAGTTAAATGTTTTCCCTATTTTAGACAGATCCAGCAAGCTTGTTACTGCAATATCTATAACTTTATACTTATAAATAACAAAGGGAGATAATCACCTGTTTTAGAATATTCTAATTCTAAACTGTCTCGTTTATAAGGTGACAAACATGAACAAATTGAGGTAGTTATACTGTAATCACATGACTCAAGGGAGGTAAGCGGCTTAAGTATGTGTGTCCCTGTAAGTATGGATATGACCACACAGACAGTCCCTGTTCCTATGGCAACAACTATAACAGAAACAACCTGAAAGATAAAAACATGACATTAATCATACAAGAAATTAACAATTCAATAACTGAATTTAGTATTAATCACTTCACAATAAAATTATTCAAGATATCTTAACACAAAGCTGTTACCTGATGAGTTAAACTTTATTTCCTTTTAGTCTATTATAACATGGCATGTCTTTTGTAATATCTTGATGATTTTTGTAACTAATAGGCAACTATTAGATATTGTGTGCTGGTGGTCTGTACCACAGGATTCTGTATGCATCTAGTGTGGTTAGAGCCATAGACTCTCTATCACCACTGGCTAGCCTGTTTTGTAGGTGAAAAGAGAGCCAAGTGCGTAAGTCTTTCTGCCAGTACATAGCCTCTACACTATTCAAGACTTCTACAATGCCTCCTCGTGACAGCACATGGTAACTAGGATCTAGCATCCTAGGCATTATTGTAGAGGATCTCAGAGCAGCAAGGGCCCCAGAGATGCAGTGTGTAGACCCACTGGCGTGTGGACATGCCCTTGCCCCAGCTATGGGTAAATAACACCACTGCCTAGTGGTTAGGTTTGGGAAAATCAAAGGCTATGGAAGCAGACCCAGAAGGAAAAGCCAGGAAGATGGAGCTTGTCAGCCATGGCAGGCAATTGTCTATGGGAAGGAAAACCTAGACAACAAAACTCCATCCTACAGGTAGTAGGTTTCTCATATGGCTAATCACCAGGCAGAGTAAAAAATTTGATGATTAAGGAAACCCACAGGGCCTTAAATGCCGACTGGCATAAAGAGGATAGGTGAGGTGAGGTGAGGTGAGGTGAGGTGAGGTGAGGTATTGAAGAGATCAAATGATGGATGTATTGGTGATTAACATCCAGTGACAAATATTAAATGCTTATGCTATTGCCTTTGCCTATATCACCCGGGTCATACGCTCCCTAATTCTCCTATATCACCCTGCTCATACGCTACCTAATTCTCCTATATCACCCTGCTCATACGCTCCCTAATTCTCCTATATCAGCCGGCTCATACGCTCCCTTATTCTCCTATATCAGCCGGCTCATACGCTACCGAATTCTCCTATATCACCCGGCTCATACGCTCCCTAATTCTCCTATATCACCTGGCTCATACGTTCCCTAATTCTCCTATATCAACCGGCTCATGTGCTCCCTAATTCTATCACAGCTTTGAGACATGAGTAGAACTTATCAGCAACGTCACAATGTGTGTGGAGCTGGTTTAAAGCTTTCTTTTGACAAACTAAAATTGTATAAGGAGTGGTTAAGGACCAGAAATTCAAAAAAATAAACAGATTATATGGTTTTCTGTATACAGATATCATACAGTATAGCTGCTTGAAACAAAGTGAAGCTTTTCGCTTGTGCTGCGATCACTCACCAAAATGTTTTACAGTGTGGCTTGTAGTTAATATCTTAAGATATCTATCTGTCATGTGTCTGTAGAAAACCAGAGAATTTATACATATCAGAACAAGAACATGTTGATGTGATATGAATATAAATTCTGCTTCGTACCAGGTGGAGACCCTGAGCACGATTTTAAACATGCTAGTTTACAAAGTAACAGTCTGCAGGAAGACATATCAAACTAACAATTCTAAGTTCAAGCTAACTTACTGTATAAAACCTTGTTTGTGTTGGGAACAAAAGGTTTCAATATAATTAAATTAAAGGAAAACAGGTTTGAGGTTTTTTACATCATTACTTCATGTCAAAGTTTCAAGATTTTCACCCAAAATATTTAGTTTTTGAGTGTCACCATGTAAAATGACAAACCATTTCCTGTTATAAATATAAAATTAATTTCTATAGGACACTAAACAGGATAGAATTTTTTGGCAAGCCTCATTATCTTATGAAGTGTACAAATTATTTTTTTATTCAAGGAAAATGTATGCTGAATCCGTATACTAGTTTGTAAATTCAGAAATTATTGCAATTTTTGAAGAAAAGAAAAATTTGAGATTAATTATTGTGATTTTAGGAAAATCTACATACAGCACAGATATATGCATCAGATATCAGAACGCGAGGTTTTATCATTGGGATACTTACCCAGTCGCATTTTTCGCATTAATAAAAACCTTGCAATAATTTCTGAATTCACAGTATATGAACCTCCCTGTGGTCTTCCAGTCTGAAGTTTTTAATCTGGGATTGGTATACAAAAAGAGAAGGAATGATTTTTTAACTTTTTAACATATAATATTTTTATCTGTAAAACTTCTAGTCTCTTGTTGAAAATCACTACAACAAACTGCATTCAAAAAGGCAATTTTTCATTATGTACTTAAATTTTCTTTCTTCCTTTTACCAATAGTAATTTTTTTACGGTGGGAAACTGTCAATGTTGACAGAAATCATGCACAACAAATGTCACTTTTGTTTACAATAATCATGATAATAAATAACAACATGTCAATAACAGTCACATCTCTCTCTGTTGTAAATTTCATAATAAATTGTCAATAGCTTATAAACCTGTGATTTACTGAGGTCTTATTGTACAGATTAGTGAACTTTTTTCATAATTTAAAGTGAAGATACAAAGGATTTGAGAATTGGAATAAACACGCTTACATTATCCCTTTTTTGAATCTACGGAGTCCGGACGCCAAATAAATATATTTTATGTTCCAAAAGATGTAAAAAATAAACATTATTCTTCCCTTAGTTTATTTATATTGTATTTACATTGTGTCATAGGTCAAATTTATTTGTTCAGTGTATGTTCAATGGTGTTAATATGTCCTTTGATTGAGTTAAGCTATTTCAGTTGATATTTTATAGTGTGTCTTTCTATGTTTTGATGTTACACTATTGTTTCAGAAAAAGGGTGAAGGTTTGGTACCATTAAAACGTTTAAACCCGCTGCATTTGTTTGCACCTGTCCTAAGTCAGGAATCTGATGTTCAGTAGTTGTCGTTTGTTGATGTGGTTCATAAGTGTTTCTTGTTTCTCGTTTTTTGTATAGATTAGACCGTTGGTTTTCCTGTTTGAATGGTATTACACTAGTTATTTTTTGGGGCCCTTTATAGCTTACTGTTCGGTGTGAGCCAAGGCTCCGTGTTGAAGACCGTACTGTGACCTATAATGGTTTACTTTTATAAATTTTGACTTGGATGGAGAGTTGTCTCATTGGCACTCATACCACATCTTCTTATATCTATCACATGACATTTAACCTTAAAGTGGAGATACAAAGGATTTGAAGATTTAAACCTGTAAAAAATTCTGATTTCGGACATCAAAATAATACGTTTTATATGTTCCAGCAAAATGATTTAAAAAGAAAAATCACTTGCAATGATATGTGTAACTTTTCAATACTATTATTACATAAAATATATTATTGTCTGTAAATGTTTCTAATCATATTGTTAGTGTATTGTATGCCCTCCTGCGGCCAAAACTTGGTGAATACAAACTCTGATCCTTCTTTGAGAATTGGAATAAATCCGTTCACATTATCCCTGTTCTGCATAAATTTACGGAATCCGGAAGGCAAATAAATACTTTTGGTGTTCCAAAAGATGTAAAAAGAAAAAAACACTTGAAATTTAATCTTAAAATTGAGAATGGAAATGGGGAATGTGTCAAAGAGACAACAACCCGACCATAGAACAGACAACAGCAGAAGGTCACCAACAGGTCTTCAATGCAGCGAGAAATTCCCGCACCCGGAGGCGTCCTTCAGCTGGCCTCTAAACAAATATAAATACTAGTTCAGTGATAATGAACGCCATACTAAACTCCAAATTGTACACAAGAAACTAAAATTAAAAATAATACAAGACTGACAAAGGCTAGAGGCTCCTGACTTGGGACAGGCGCAAAAATGCGGCAGGGTTAAACATGTTTATGAGATCTCAACCCTCCCCCTATACCTCTAGCCAATGTAGAAAAGTAAACGCATAACAATACGCACATTAAAATTCAGTTCAAGAGAAGTCCGAGTCTGATGTCAGAAGATGTAACCAAAGAAAATAAACAAAATGACAATAATACATAAATAACAACAGACTACTAGCAGTTAACTGACATGCCAGCTCCAGACTTCAATTAAACTGATTGAAAGATTATGTCTTCATCATATGAATATCAGGCACAATCCTTCCCGTTAGGGGTTTAGTATCATACCATCATAACATATATGTAGGGGTTTAGTATCATACCATCATAACATATATGAGAAGAACATAACCTGTGCCATGCCAACAACTGGTTTTTAAATAAATGTGTTTAGTGCCGATGCAAAGACCCTATAAGTGAATCAATATTAAGGCCAAAATATGCAATCTTTAATGACCTGACAACAGTATCATAACTATATCCCTTCTTAATAAGTCTATTTAAAGGTTTTGTTAGCTTCAGAGGTGAATACTGACATTTTTGTGCTTTATAAAGAATATTTCCATAAAAAATTGGATGTGAAATACCTGAACGTATAAGAAGTCTGCATGTTGAGCTATATTTACTATGATAAAATTTAGTAACTGTTTTGATTAGTTTGTGATATCGAAAACCCTGGTGTAATAATTTTTCAGTAATACATAAATTTCTCTCGTTAAAATCTAAAACATTGTTACATACACGAGCGAATCGTACAAGTTGAGATATATAAACACCGTAAGATGGTGACAAGGGGACGTCACCATCTAAAAATGGATAATTAACGATAGGAAATGAAAAATCATCTCTTTTATCATATATTTTAGTATTAAGCTTTCCGTTAATGATATAGATATCAAGATCGAGGAAAGGGCAGTGGTCATTGTTAGTATTAGCTTTATTTAAAGTAAGTTCAACAAGATAAATTTCCTTAGTATACATACTGAAGTCGTCATTATTGAGAGCCAAAATATCATCCAAATATCTAAAAGTATTATTAAATTTGTGTATCAGATGTTGTTTCGATGGGTCTTTGCTGATTTTTGTCATAAATTGTAACTCATAGCAATACAAAAAAAGGTCTGCAATAAGTGGTGCACAGTTAGTCCCCATTGGAATTCCGATAACCTGACGATATACGGAATATATAAGGATTTAAAATATAACTTTTAAAATCCACGCTGAAACAAATTTCCAATTATACAGGATATCTTTTTTAAATGTGTAATTATCAAAATTATGACATACGTGAAGGCATGAGTAGAGAAATAGGTTCCTTGTAGAAAATACTGAGGGAAAAAAAATATTGAACCCAAAATGTTGACCCTTCACTGGTGAATGGGATTCCTTCTTTTCAAGCTGATCAATTATCAAAAAGAAGTGGCATAAAAATTCTAGCAAGGTATTATTCTAAAAATCAACTTTCTACGTAACGTTTGGTGTCCATGGGAAAATACTAGTATTTTGCAATCTTTACCTGAATTATATATCTTCTCCAAAATAATGTTATAATAAAAACTCCAGTGACTACAACCTGCAAAGAGAAAGATGAACATAAAATTAATACTCCATTAACTACAACCTGCAAAGAGAAAGGAGAACACGAAATTAATACTCCATTAACTACAACCTGCAAAGAGAAAGGAGAACACAAAATTAATACTCCATTAACTACAACCTGCAAAGAGAAAGGAGAACACAAAATTAATACTCCATTAACTACAACCTGCAAAGAGAAAAGAGAACATATAATTAATACTCCAATGACTACAACTTGCAAAGAGAAAGTAGAACACAAAATTAATACTCCATTGACTACAACTTGCAAAGAGAAAGAAGAACACAAAATTAATACTCCATTGACTACAACGTGCAAAGAGAAAGGAGAATATATAATTAATACTCCACTTACTACAACCTGCAAATAGAAAGGAGAACATTAAATTACTACTCCACTTACTACAACCTACAAGAGAAAGGAGAACATACAATTAATACTCCAGTGAATATGCAACCTGAAAAATAACAGAGAACATAAAATAAATACTCCACTTACTACAACCATGACAACCTGCAAAGAGAAAATGGAACATAAAATTAATACTCCAGTGACTACAACCTGCAAAGAGAAAGGAGAACATAAAATTAATACCCCAGTGACTATGCAACATGAAAAAGAACAGAGACCATACAGTTAATACTCCAGTGACTACAACCCGCAAAGAGAGATTTAGTAACAACCTGCAAAGAGAAAGGAGAACATAAAATTATGCTCCAGTAACTACAATGTGCAAAGAGAAAGGAGAACATACAATTAATACTCAAGTAACTACAACCTGCAAAGAGAAAGGAGAACATACAATTAACTAATTACAAAGAGAAATGAGACCAGAAAATTTGTCATATATCATCAACTAAAAAAGAAGTAAATATATACAAAAGGATATCTCAAACAATAAAAGGGGGATTGAGGAAGTAGAGTTTAAAATTATGAAAATTACTAACCAACTCTTTTGACATGGTCATTGGGTTATTAATAGGTACATTGTGGCCAGGAGATGAAGATAATATTGAATAAGGAAACTCTTCATAAAAATTCCAATCCCAAACAGATCTCCTGACATATTTCCAAATCCTATTATTGTAAAAGTGCTCCTTAAAAAGATTGCTTAATGCTGACCATGCCTCTGTCGTTAACAAATGGTACAGACTTAAAACAGGCAGCAAAGGGGATTTGAGGAGTTCATCCAACCCCCCCCCCCCCCCCCCTCTTCTCCCATGAGAACAAAAGATACCATTATTATAAAAGTATAGAGATGTGGTACTAAATGTATGATTGCCAATGAGACAACTATAATCCACTAAGAGTTCAAATGACGAAGACTGTTAGAGTCTATATTTACATGGAAGTATGTCTATAAAATTTAGAGCATTACGATCCCAAGTAACCCTTCTCAGAGACATCTATTCTTGGCTTTGGGTGTGGACTTAATACCAGTAGAAAGTATTATATTCTCATTACATTTTGGGGCATTGCCACTGGAATTTATTTTTAACTAATGCATCAAATTCTGCATTGATGAGTAATATCAAATCTAAACTCAAGACAGCCATCAGGTTCAGTTCTATATAACATACAGCTTTTGTAAAATCATTGAATTTAGTTGAAAGTTTATTGACAGAATATTATCTCACTGCTGAAATTAAAGGAAACAGAAATGAAAAATAACAAAAGTTTGATGACTGATTTTTTTCTTTTGATGATACAACGGATCTGTGTATTCATGATATTTAGTCATTTTTTTTTATTATTTGGTATAAACTCAAATCGTGAAAGGAGTTGAATGTACAAAAAATTAGGTCAACCACAAATTGAAATATGACCTGTATTGACTGATTGGTGTTTTCTTTACACTGCTTCAGCAAAAAAGGGATTTATGGTGGCAAAATTTGACCTGTAACAATTCATTATAAATACAAATATTGACCAACGGTCAAATATATCTAAACTGATGAACATGATGAATAAAATTCTCTTTTTTATCAAATGCTTAAAAGTACAATTTTTCAAGGTTTTCAAAGGTCCAATTAGCTGCAATTAGGTCAAAAGTATGTCAGCTTAATGGAAACTGACAGGTATAACTGGCAACTGAACTGCTGACCGCACAGCCATACTCTGAATTCAGTTAAACAAAGATACATAGAAACATAGCAAATGTATTATACATGGATGCCTTGAGTCAAACATGACCTGACCTAGATGGTATGATCCTTAATTTTCTGATACTGACTGGGAAAAGATGTCCAACCAAATATAAATAAATAAAAGACAGCTCCTTCAAAAACTCCCCTCAAAACATCTGACAGTTAAAAATCTGTTTTAAAGGTTGTTGTATGGCGCATTAATAAGCAGCTTCTAAAGTGTACTAACTTAAAATATCTAACAGCTCAACTAATCCATTCAAAAGATCATTCATTTAAACGTAAATAATTATAAGATAAAACAAATCTATTTCATTTTTGTTTTACAACCTTTTTTGTATCCCCATTAACATTCTCTCAAGTGGACACACTCAATATCTAACAGCTCAATTAACTGGTAAGTAACTGCAAAATACCATCAAAATAAGAAAAAGAGAACATCTCTATTTCATTTTTGTTTTACAGGGTTTTTTATGCTCCATTAACATTCTCTAAAGTGGACAGACTCACTCATTTAACAGCTCTTCAAAACATCAGTCAATTAAACATTTTAAAAGCAAATAAGACAAAAAGAACATCTATTATTTCATTCTTGTTTTAAAAGTTTTTGTAAGCTGCATAAGATTCTTCTAATTACTCAATCAACTTTTTGCTACTTGTTAAGATAATAATTTTCCCATCATTTTTATCCTGATGACTTCATAAAAATCTGACATTCTCTTTTATTAAGAATAATGTTTTTCCTAGCTTTTGAGAAACTGTGAGAAACCACTTCAGCAAGAGGAACCACTTGGTGTTTTATTTCTTTCTTGTCTGGGAGTCCTTCAGAGTTGATGAACTTTTGTCAAACTTCAGAAAACATCATTATAACAAAATTACTTAAGGCCAAAAAAATATAAACTTATTTCCTGCCTTCTGGTAGAAGAAAAGTAGAGTATTTACGTAGGTAGGTAAAATAACTTGATTTTTGTTTAACATTATAATTAGGTAGAATAGAGAATGGAAACGGGGAAGTGTCAAAGAGACAACAACCCGAGCAGAAAACAGCCCATTAGACCACCAATGGGTCTTCAACACAGTGAGAAAATCCTGCACCCAGAGGTGGGCTTCAACTTGCCCTTAAAAAATAATGTATACTACAAGTAGTTCAGTGAAATGGACAATATGCTCTAGACTTTATTGGTGCTTAACAAAGAATTCAATAAAATGTGTTATGTTCAGGAGGAAAACATAGGGTAGGTAGGTAGAAAAGAAACAGATCTACATTGTTTTGGCCCAACTAAACATAATATGAGCTGCATCAGATAGAAGTGCATCTATAGACGGCGTGCATAAAGCTGAGTCCACAAACGTAACGTCTTCAAATTACTTCAATCATTTACGACGTCTGCATTTTTTCCACGAAAACAAATGTGTAACAAAAACACTGGACACTAATAGTTTATCACATAGCTAAAAACATAAACATTCAACATATTTCTTTTTTTTAACAACAAAGTGCAGCATATGCACATTCTGGAAATATAAATAAATATATGCTAAGAGCAGTGTAATGGAAATAATAAGCCACTATGTCGTGGACCCTTTTCAGAAAATAGCGTTAAAACGTCATTTCTTTAAATTGTAACATAAAAGCTGGACATTAAAAAAATTCAGGTGTTCAGCCTGGACTATCGAATCATTCATATTTTGCAGATTTTTTTAAACCTCTTGTTATGCACATTTGGAACATCAAGTTATTTTGAAATAAAAAATAGCAATTAAATATTTTTTCTTATCGATTCTTTCATTTTCGAATATTAATCCTTACAAATTACTACTTCTTACACATAACGAACTACATTCCAAACTCATCCACCATGGCCGTTTTTTTATTTTTTTGCGGTGAATTTCGTATGACGTCATTGTCCGAATCCGAAAAATTCTATCATACGAAAATGCGGGAAAATATGTTGAATTTGAATAAATTTTAGGTCAAAAACTCTATTTTATCCTTATTTAATGTTAAAAGTTTCACATATTTTTGCCGTTTTCTCTATGTTCGTTTCATACTTTATAGATTTAATTTTGATAACTTTATAAGTAATGTGGATTTTAATGGCTAGCATTCATCATTTTATCATAAAATAAAATGCTTCGCTGGGCGCAGCTTGATACGACCGCAGAGGTCGAACCCTGAACAGTTGGGGCAAGTATGGACACAACATTCAAGCTTGATACAGCTCTGAATTTGGATTGTGATTAAATATTTGACACAGCATAGGTTTCTGACACAGAAAGAATGTGGTCTAAGAAATTCAATTTTTTTAATTTACCTATTATGGTCCAATGTCCAAAATCAAAATACATGGTTAGATTCAGCATATCAAAGAACCCCATATATTCAATTTTTGTTGAAATCAAACAAAGTTTAATTTTGGACCCCAACTTGGACAAACTTGAAAACTGGTCCCATAATCAAAAATCTAAACACATGTTTAGATTCAGCAAATCAAAGTACCCGAAGAATTCAATTTTTGTTAAAATCAAACTAAGTTTAATTTTGGACCCTTTGGACCTTAATGTAGACAAATTTAAAAAACGGGACCCTAAATTAAAAATATAAAAACACAGTTAGATTTGGCATATCAAAGAACCCCAATAATTCAATTTTTGATGAAATCAAACAAAGTTTAATTTTGGACCCTTTTGACCTCAATATGAACCAATTTGATAGCGGGCCCACAAATAAAAAATCTAAATACATGGTAAGATTCAGCATATCAAAGAACCCCATATATTCAATTTTTGTTGAAATCAAACAAAGTTTAATTTTGGACCCCAATTTGGACC